GGCCGACATGGTGGGACAGGGGCTGGAGGCTGGCGTTCTAAACAGCAGCAGAAAAACAGGTCACGCGGCCATCCGCTAGCCTCCAGGGCGGGAGGAGTACTCCTTTCCTTCAGATCACTGAAGCCTGGACTCAAGTCCAGACTGCGGCCGGGACACTCCGGTCACAAGAGGACTTGGCCCAACTTAACCACCAACACACACCCCACACTCCACTTGAAATGTTTTCAAACACAGGACACAATCTAGTGCCGGTTAGTGGCGTTGGGATGGAGCACAGAACTATGAGGTCAAGAAGAGTGACGGAAAACATTTTTCCTGTTAAAGAATCGGCTCTCACATCTTTAAGTGAGATGGTGACGGCCAGCAAATCAAACACCAGGACACACGCACAGCAGGGCAGCCTGGCTCACATCAAACCCCAGCTCACACCAAGCCAGGAGCAGGGAGCAGGGCTGGGAGAAGAAACAGCAAGGCTGAAGGGGCGAGTGTGTATGAGCGTGTGTGTGAGAAGAGGCCTTCCCGGGGGGCTCTCTTCTCCAGCTGCCTTGGACCTTTAGTCCAAAGACCGCACCGCACCTCCTCCCCAGTCTCTGCGGCCCCTGCACTGTCCCTGGCCCACTGTCCCCTCCGTGACTCGGGTCCCCCTGCAGAGGGGCCTCATCCCATCTTTCTTTGCCTCCTTCCACTCTGCATGGCCTAGCTGGGGGCACCCTCCCACAGGGATCTCGGTAGTCTGAGCCTGGTCTTTTTTCCCAGAGGTCCCGTGGACTGAAGTTTTGCCTCTGGCTGCATTTAAGGGGTGCCTGGCTTCCCTTGAGCGAGAACGTGGACTGAGCTCACAGACCTGAGGGTGACCCAGGCTCAGTCACAGGTCTGGCTGGTGGCATGAGTCACCAATCTCAGCACCAGAGCCATGAGTTGCTCCTTCACAAGATGCAGAAATAATATCGTCTCATTTGTGGGCTCAAAGGCCTCCCTAACCAGGGTCAAGGGTGCCTCATGGGAAAGCCAGTTTACACTTAAACAATCCCAGTGGCCTCGTAAGAGCATAAAAGCCCAGCCTGAGGAACTTTCATCCGTGCTCAGTAGCTCAGTTGCATCCAAATCTTTGTGACCCCATGAACTGTAGCCCTCCAGGCTCCTCTGTCCATGGGATTTTCCGGGCAAGAATACTGAAGTGGGTTGCCATTTCCTCCTCCAGGGTATCTTCCTGATCCAGGGATCAAACCCAAGTCTCCTGCATTGGCAGGCAGATTCTTTACCTCCGAGCCACCCGGGAAGCCCCATGAGAAACCCCAGGGTTAGCAAAGGGGGTGAGGCAAATAGTCTCAAGTGTCTGAGGGGTGACCGGCCCGTCAGGACAGCCTCCAGGCCTGTGGGAACCCAGACTCTCCTCCTCAGCTACCTCCCTCCTGCGCACTCAGATTGGTCCCCAGGAATGAAGCTGACGGCAACTCATGTTTATTGAGCACCTATTATGTGCCAGGCACTGTACTAAGCTCTATGTGGGCCAGCTCCCTCTGTTCCTTACAACCAGGGGAGATTACACTCATTTCACAGAAAAGGAGACTGAGCTCTGAGGTTAAAGTACTGGTGTGAGTCTCAGACCAATGGAAAAAGCAAGTGACTTGAGATCCGACAGCCCAAGTTCCAGCCCTGCCTCTTCTGTGTTCTCTTTGGGTTCCAGTTCTTTATCTATAAAATGGGGGAAATGCTCATAATTTACTTGAAACCTTATGTCTGTGAATTCCTGGCTGGTCCACGAGTAAGCGTTAAGATTTCTGACAACAGAACTTTCCAATGTTCTGGTCACACGACGTGGGCAGGGAACATGGGCGGTGGGGTCGGACAGAGCCGGTGAGAGTCAAGGCTCTGCATTGACTAGCTGAGTGACGTGGGCAAGTTCCTCAACCTCTCTGAGCCTCAGCTCCCTCCTCTGGGAAATGGGAATACTCATCCCTGGGAGGGCCACAGGGACTAGAGACAATCCACAGGAAACAGAGAAGGGGCCCCGCCGGTGATCTAGAACCAGCTGGCCGAGGAGCAGCAGGCACTTGGTCACTGTGTGCTGGGCCGCTGACCAGGCTGCTACCAATCAGAGTGGCTGTTCTGTTAGGGTTTTTGAGACAGTCCAGTGGACCCCATGCCCCTGACCTGGGCCAGTACTGAGGGAGGCCTTTACCTGGGACCTCAGGCACCACCTGGATTCTAGATCTCAATGAACAGATTCAAATCAGAGCTCCTCCCCGCAGATGAGAAGGGCAGGGGTGGCCGCAGACGGTCCGCATGGGTTCAGAACCTCCCTCACTGGCCCCAAACTGCACAGCCTTGAGCCTGTCACGTCCTCATCTGAACCACGCCCTAGAGGGTCTGTGAAGACCACTGAGGTGATGAAGATGGACATCACAACACGACAGGTGCCTCGTCACTGCTGGCTTACTTCCTGCCCTGGCTGCTTTCCACCCCTGGCATTTCTCACAGCCGGGCAGCCGTGTGGGCTCAGGATGCTGAGGCAGGTGGCAGCGGCAAGGCTTCTGGAACAGCTGACTGCCGAGCTGGGACTCGCACTACAACAACCGGGAACGTGTCAGCCAGGGAAGCAGCGGTGGGGCAGGCCCTCCGGGACGGAGGTTCGCTCCAGCAGAGGTGAGCAGGTGAGGAAGCGCATGGAAGCTAAGAGGGTGGGCGGTGTGGGAACCGAGGCTGGGGAGGTGGGCCGAGCTAAGCTGAGCTCACGGGCTGTGTCCTGAGGGCAACGGGAGCTAGTGAGGAGTCTGGAGTAGGGGGGGGATCTGACCACGTTTTGGCACGCTCCCCGGCAGGCTCCAGTGTCCGTGCTCGGGTCCCGCTGACCCAGCCCGCCCTGCGATGCCTGGACCGGCCAGCGCTCAGGGGGCCGTGTGCCCTGACCCACTGTGGTGCTGCCCTGGTGGCAGGTGAGCAGCCCTTTATTTACCTATTTTGATGACGTTGTAGGGGCTGCTCTCTGGGGCTTCGTCTTCCAGGATGTCGTCTTCCTCCTGCGTTAGGATCATGGGATGTACCTTGTCTCTCGGAGGCCCTGGTGGCTCGGAGGCAGAGGCAGCCCGGGGTCTTCTCACGACGTCCAAGTCCCCGTCCTCGTCCAGCTGAGCTGCCAACCCTTCTGGGGTGGTGGTGTCGGCCCCCGCCTGGAGGGAGGCCCCCACGTGGCTGCAGACAGTGCCGGCGGGAGGTGTCCTCTCTGTGTGATTGCTACCCTCGGCCCCTGAGTCAGTCTGAGAGTCTCGGTCCCACAGAAGCTTGAACTGGGACAGGAAGACTGAAAGCGAAACATACAGAGTATTTCTACACTGTCTCCTTTCCTATTTCCTTTCCTCAATTTCCACCTGGAAAGAATTTTAAAGGCTGGGCGGGGTGGGGAGAGGCGGGGAGGCAGATAAGGTCCTACCACATAGCAGAGGGAACGATGTTCACTGTCACATAATAAACCACAGTGGAAAAGAAAAGGGCCAGGTGCAGACATCGTGACGGCAGCAGAAAAGGCCCGTGCGATTCGGCTGTGAAACTGTGGTCTCAGAGCAGCCACGTTCTGACCTACACTGCAGGCACTCAGCTCACGTGCTCTCATTTACTCCTCACAGCAGCCATGAACACAACAGTGTTGCTCCATTTTACAGACGTGGAAACTGAGGCTCACAAGTTAAGTGAGCTGACCAAGGTTACACAGCTGTGGGTGTGGCTGAGGCAGGATCCAAATCCAGTCTCCCCGACCCCTGGGCCACTGCCCTCCTTGCCACACTGTCCTGCCTTGAGGTCTGGAGGCTGGGACACGGATGCCGAGGCCCTCACCACCTGGGGCCCAGAGAGTCACCGGGACAAGTTTCGGTAAGAGTACGGTGCCAGGCTGGAGGTAGGGGGTGCCAGGACTTGAGTGGACAGTCCTGGGCCAGTCCTCTGTGCCCCTGCTGTCTGACCCCCCGGGCCAAGTAGCTCATCTGTTCTGAGCCTGTTTCCTGAATCCTGGAATCCAAACGGGGACAGGAGGGAAAGGGAGAGTAACTAATCACGACAGAAAAATAAGCAAGCACAGGGTGACAGGAGCTGGGGAGGGTGGCCAGGGAGGTCCCGGGAGGGGAGAATGTTCTGGGCAGAGTGAAGAGCAGGCGCAAAGGTGCTCAGAGAGGAAGGTGTGTGCCTGGTGTGAGGGACAGAAAGGACCCAGAAGTGGCTGCTGGGCATTGATGGCAGGCGAGAGAGGTGTGGACACTTGGGCAGGGGCCAGGCTGAGCCTCAAAGGTCAAGGTGAGGACTCTGGTTTCGTTCTGAGAGCAAGGGAAGCCACTGGAGGGTCTGAATCTGGGCAGTGGTGTGATCTGCATTTTTCATAAGATCCCCTGGGGCACTTCCTTGGTGATCCAGCAGCTAAGATTCTGCACTATGAGTGCAGAGGGTCCTGGTTCGATCCCTGGTCAGGGAACTAGGTCCCGCATGCAGCAGAAAAGAGCAAAGATCCTGTGTGCTGCAACTTAGACCGGTGCAGTCAAATGATTAAATAAAAATAAACATTAAAAAGAAAGAAAGAAAAGATCCCTTGGGCTAGAGAAGTTGGGGAGGGTGTGTGGGAAGAAACCAGGGGGCCCTGGTGGGAGGAGTCAGCCTGGGAGAGGGCCACGTCTCCCCGACTGGTCTGTGGATTCCCCGAGGGCAGAGTTCAGCCCATCCCCTCCACTTTCCCAGCATCGCATCCGGCCTGGCACATGGCAGGGGCTCGGGGAAGGGGGGGGAGGTGGCTTGCCCTGTGAGACAGGGGCTCCTAAGAAGTGCTGCGAGGGTTAAGTCAGACAAGCCAGTCCTCCCCATCCTTTCTGTGAGAATGCAGAAAACACAGTGGGCTCCTGGGCTGCGGTAGCTTACCCGGCTGCCCCATGCCGTTCAGCCGCACCATGAGGCGCCGCTGGTTCGGGGTGTACAGGTGGACGTCTGACAGCACAGTGTCGCTTCTGAAGGTGATCTCGTCCATGGCGGGCGCGGGAGCTGGTGACCATGGACGGCAGCACCTGAGGGGCGAGAGCAAGTCCTCAGACAGCAGGTCCCGGGGGGAGCAGTGTGAGTGACCCACCCTGGGGGCAGAGCGTTCCAGGTCACCCTGGAAAAAAGGCTTCTCTTTTCAGTCCTCTCGTAATCCTGCAGGTAAACGTTTCAGAGCCCTGCTGAGATAATAAACAGAGCTGTTACTCTGTTTAGCACTGTGTTGACTTTCATAGTAAGTAACCTTTTATATGTGGCAAGGGATCCAAATTTCCATTTATACTGAAAACAGTTTTCCTACCCTTTTTATTTTTTCCAACCTTTTTGTTATGAAGAATTTCAAATACTAGCAAATTGAGGGCACAGTGTAATAAACAGTCATATACCCACTGCTTAGATTCAATGATCATGCACACTGTCGTACGTGATCAATCTATCTAGGTTTTTTTTCTCCCCTGAACTGAGCACCTTCCAGACATCATGACATTTTAACTCTATAATTCTTCAGCATCTGTCTATCTCGTAAGAACATGCTCCTGCATAACCAAAAGACCATTAGCAGACCTAAGATAGCTAACAATTCCTTTATATCATTTAAAACCCAGTTCATGGTCAGTTTTCTCCATTAGTCACCCAATTTGTCTCTGGCCGCTAGTTCTTCTTAAAACAGTATTTAATCACAATTTACACGTCACATTGAGTAGTTTTTTCCCTATAATCGTCTCTCTTCCCAGAAATTGACTCCAGCTGCCCACATATCATTTGTTTTAAAATCTTCTTTTTAAACTTTAAAAAAAGTGAGTGGATTTAAAGCAAAATCAACTAAAGGAAACTTTGTACAGGTGATATATAGGTTTTGAAGAATTATGAAGGTGACCCAACAACTAAAATTTGGAAAACCATGCTGGAGGCAAAGTGGCTAAAAACAGGAAGGCTTGGACTATGGAAGACAGTATGGAGATTCCTTAAAAAACTAGAAATAAAACCACCATATGATCCAGCAATCCCACTCCTAGGCATATGCCCTTAGGAAACCAAAACTGAAAAAGACACACGTACCCCAATGTTCACTGCAGCACTATTTACAATAGCTAAAACATGCAGGTAACCTAGATGTCCAACGACAGATGAATGGATAAAGAAGTTGTGGTACATATATACAATGGAATACTACTCAGCCATAAAAATGAACACATTTGTGTCAGTTCTAATGAGGTGGATGAACCTAGAGCCTAGAACACAGTGAAGTAAGTCAGGAAAAAAAATATTATATGCTAATGTATATATATGGAATGTAGAAAGATGGTAGAGATGAAATTATTTGCAGGGCAGCAAGGGAGACACAGACATAGAGAACAGACTTATGGACATGGGGAGGGTGGGGAGGGGAGGAAGGAGAGGGTGGGATGTATAGAGAGCTAACATGGAAACTTATATTACCATATGTAAAACAGACAGCCAATGGGAATCTGCTGTATGATGCAGGAAACTCAAACTGGGGCTCGGGAACAACTTAGAGGAGTGGGGTGGGGAGGAAGGTGGGAGGGAGCTTCAAGAGGGAGGGGACATAAGTACACTTGTGGCTGATTCATGCTGATGTTTGGCAGAAACCAACATACACACACACAAATAAACTTTTCTAAAATGTGGGAAAAACAAAACAAAACAGGAAGGCTTGGGACTTCCCTGGCAGTCCAGAGGTTAAGACTCTGCACTTCTAATGAAGGGGGTGAGTTTGATCCCCGGTCAGGGAACTAAGATCCCACACGCCATTAGGCATGGAAAAAAAAAAAAAAAAGAAACAAAAACAGGAAGGCTCTTCCTCCATCAAATGTTCCACCTCATCAAAAAGCATCAAAGAGCAGCAGCATGTGGACAGAGCCTAGGGCTGTGATGCTGGGCGGAGCAGGTGTTAAAGCTTGTCTCCAAGCTCCTCACTGTGACCCTGAGAAAATCACTTCACCTCTCTGGACCAGTTTCTTCAGCTATATTCTCAGCTTGCGGGGTTGGGGGCAGCAGGATGTGGAGGGTGTGTGTCATGCACTGAGCAGAGTCCTTGGTACACAGCAATTGTAAATAAACCCCACAATTTTCTTGACATGGGGTTGGTTTCAGGTGTTTGACACAAACCTGCCACAATCCCTGATCCCCTAACAGGAACCACTCCTATCTGGGTAGATGTGTGCACTAGCAGTGTGCCCCACAAATATCATGAAACCTCTTGGGCCTCCATTCCTTCAATTGGAAAATGGGATCGTCATAAGCCACCACGGTCTATAATCTGAGTCCACATAACTGGAGTTCCTACATTTAAGCACTTGCCACGGGGAAGCAAAAGTACCAACACAAACGTTTACTGTAAAAGAGTTACTCCACGCTGGCTTTTGTATCTGACACGATAAACCTTGACAAAGTTAGTGGGTTGTGAGGTGAAGCTGTGAATCTGATAAATGGATGCAAGATTTCATGGTGTAGAAAGTGATGGAGGAGAAATGCNGTGGGTGGGGAGGGTTGTTGCCTCACAGGCAAAAGCCCTCAAACAATGAGGACTGGAAAAATTAGGATGGATCCATGAAGAGGATCCACTCTAAACACAGTGTAGGCCAACCATGACCAATCATTTTAAAGGCAAATTTGGCTCCCTGAGGACTAAAAGATGTAACACTGCACTTATACATCAATACTTTTAAATATAGACAAAAAAATAAGCTCCTTTAACCTGCAGTTGAAATTTCTCCCGTCCAAGTGCCAAACAGACCCAACCCTGCTTAGCTTTTGAGATCAGACAAGATTGGGCACTTTCAGGTGGTACGATCTAGATTCCTTGAAATTTCTATTTTGAAAACCAACCTGCCCTGGCCTACCAGGAAACACACCCTACAATGAAGTACTAGGTAAAGGGGATTCCCTTTAAGGGGCTTTTCCTAGAACCAGATCTCTGGGAATTATGGGGGCACCTTGGACCCGACTCAGGGTCTACATGAGCATTAAATGAGACAATGATCACTTTCAGGGTTCAAGACATAGTAAGTGCTCAACTTCCCCAGTGCCTCAGCTGGTAAAGAACCTGCCTGCCAGTGCAGGACAGGCAAGAGAGGAGGGTTTGATCCCTGGGTCAGGAAGATCCCCTAGAGAAGGGAATGGCTACCCACTCCAGTATTCTTGCCTGAAGAAATACAAGGACAGAGGAACCTGGCGGGGCTACAGTCCACGGGGTTGCAAAGACTTAAGACAGGACTGAGTGACTCTCACTTTCACTTTCATCATTATAGCATTGATAAGAATAATTATTAAAGGATGTGCTGGAAGATGGGAAAAGGCAATAGTCAGTATCTCTACTTAGGAACAGCTGACTCATGGTCTTGGTCTGTGAATACTGGGGTTGGATGGGCTTCAGTCCCCTCTCCTGACTGGGGAGGTGGGAAAGGACACCCCAACTGCAGATAGGACCTCCACCCCCTCCTTCGTGCTGCAGATTCATCTCACAGGAGTTGCTGACAAGTGTCCTTGGTTCTTCTAGGCTATGGGGGCCAGACGCCGACGCTGTCATCCTAACCCTGTCAAGGGTGCCCGCTAAAAGCAGTTTGCCGGGATCTGGGGGGTTGGAACACCTGCCTGCCTCCCAGGCTCTCTCTCTGCCAGGTGTCACCTAGTCATCAACGACCGGGAACTGGGCGCGATTCCGGAGCCGAGGCCCAGGGCTGGGGAGCTGAGACTTGGCCCCGGTCACGGCGCGGGTCAGAGTCAGGGGCTCCACGGTCCTTGGTCGTTAGGGCTCTTCGTTCCCTCTGTCACGCCGCGTCTGAGGACTCCAGCCGGCGGGCTACGCATGCCCTCTCAACCAGGAGTCACAGCTCGGGCATCGTCGTCCCTTCCCAATCCGAAACCCAGGGGGCTGCTTGGACCCCAGACGGAAACCCACAGGCAGGCAGGGACTCCTCCCCCCCACATCCTCGCTTAGGGAAACTGAGGCTGAGTGGCTTAGGCTTCAAGTCCGTGTGGGAGCTCGCGCTTCAAGGCCAGATTCGGTGCCGGAAGGCCACCTGCATCGTTCCCCTTGCCGCCGCTCCTCCAAAGGGCTTACCCGCCGCCTGCCGCAACCCGAAGTGCCCCCAGAGCTTCTCACCACTGCGCTCAGGCGGCCGCCATGGCGGGGCGGCCTGCGCAGGCGCGGCCCCACCCTCGGCGCGTACGATTTCCTTGCGTCGCTTCGTGGCCACGCCCACCAGCCGAATCGCTCTTGGGCGCCAGTGTTGCTGTCAGGGGCAACCCGGAAGAAGCTCGTTTCTCGCCTGCACAGGTTTGCTCTCACCTGCCCGGGTTTGGCGAGGTGGTGGCTGGCCTGGGTTGGATGCGAGTGAGGGAGCCGTGACATAACTCGCTCAAGGTCACCCAGCTAAGTGGTGAGGCTTGGATTCGAACCGGCGAATACGGCTCTAGAGCCTCGCTGTTAACCCAGAACTGCTGCTAAGTCGCTACAGTTGTGTCCGACTCTGTGCGACCCCATAGACCGCAGCCCACCAGGCTCCTCTGTCCCTGAGATTCTCCAGGCAAGAATACTGGAGTGGGTTGCCATTTTCTTCTCCAGTGCAAGCATGCATGCTAAGTCGCTTCAGTCGTGTCCGACTCTGTGCGACCCCATAGATGGCAGCCCACCAGGCTCCTCTGTCCGCAGGATTCTCTAGGCAAGAAACCTATGCTAGGTATTTGTTAATTATTGTTATCCTGCTGTTCAGTTCAGTTCAGTCACTCAGTCGTGTCCAACTCTTTGCGACCCCATGGACTGCAGCACGCCAGGCCTCCCTGTCCATCACCAACTCCCGGAGTTTACCCAAACTCATGTCCATTGAGTCTGTGATGCCATCCAACCATCTCATTCTCTGTCGTCCCCTTCTCCTCTCACCTTCGATCTTTGCCAGCATCAGCGTTTTTTCAAATAAGTCAGTTCTTCACATCAGGTGGCCAAAGTATTGGAGTTTCAGCTTCAGCATCAGTCCTTCCAATGAATATTCAGGACTGATTTCCTTTAGGATGGACTGGTTAGATATCCTTGCAGTCCAAGGGACACTGAAGAGTTTTCCCCAACACCACAGTTCAAAAGCATCAATTCTTCGGCGCTCAGCTAGCCCAACTCTCACATCCATACATGACTACTGGAAAAATCATAGCTTTGACTAGACAGACCTTTGTTGGCAAAGTAATGTCTCTGCTTTTTAATATGCTGTCTAGGTTGGTCATAACTTTTCTTCCAAGGAGCAAGCATCTTTTAATTTCATGGCTGCAGTCACCATCTGCAGTGATTTTGGAGCCCAAAAAAATAAAGTCTGTCACTGTTTCCATTGTTTCCCCATCTATTTGCCATGAAGTGATGGGACCAGATGCCATGATCTTAGTTTTCTGAATGTTGAGCTTTAAGCCAACTTTTTCACTCTCCTCTTTCACTTTGATCAAGAGGCTCCTTAGTTCTTCTTCGCTTTCTGCCATAAGTGTGGTGTCATCTTGCTCTTAGTACCCATTAATATAATAGCTGGTACTCATTTCATTCATTCATCCACTCATCAAGTCTCCAACATCAGGTGAATTAAGAACCTCCATGTTAATTGGCATTTAATAGGAAATGAAATCCGATACAGCCATTGTACATCGAGTAAATTTCCAAGCACATAGGACTGCAGATGTAAAGAGTGCACACATGCGTAATTCATAGGCTTCCCCTGTGTCTCAGATGGTAAAGAGTCTGCCTGCAATTCAGGAGACCTGGGTTCCATCCCTGGGTGGGGAAGGTCTCCTGAAAAAGGGCATGGCAACCCACCCCAGTATTCTTGCTTGGGAAATCCCAGGGAGAGAGGAGCCTGGCGGACTACAGTCCATGGGGTTGCAAAGAGTTGGACACGACTGAGCAAGTAACACTTTTACTTCACTTACAGAGCATTAACATAAGTTTTATGGATAAAACTGGGCGCGGCATCAATGGGGTGACTAAGCAACATAAATAAATATTCTCAAGGGAAACAGATTGTTTCCTGAACTCCCTGGGACAGTACACAGAGAGTTGTCTGTGCATCTTGGGACCTCGTTCTAGTGTTGTTTGGGTTCTCAGGGAGTGTCTGGGTGCTAGAAGGTCACTGAGGAAGATGGTGTAGACACCTCTGGAATTGTTTTATTTAAAAACTTGTGAGAATAGAGCAGGCAGAAAGTAGAAGTGTTAGCCACTCGGTCATGTTCCACTCTCTGTGACCCCATGGACTGGGTAGCCCTCCAGACTCCTCTGTCCATGGGGATTCTCCAAGCAAGAAAACTGGAGTGGCTTGCCGTTCCCTTCTCCAGGGGATCTTCCCAACTGAGGGATTGAACCCGGGTCTCCTGCATTGCAAGTGGATTCTTTACCACCTGAGCCACCGGGAAGCCCCCAAAGCAGGCAGAGTCATCTTCTAAAAACAAAAGTCAGATCACATCTGTCTTCTGTTCAAACCCCTGGAGGCCCCTACCTTGGGCAGGAAGGGAGGCCAGGATTCTCGCAGTCATCCATTTCCCATCTCACACCCAACTCTGCTCCCTTCCAGCCACCCTGATCAGTCTTGTTCCCTTTCAAGTGCTTTGCACTGACTATTCTGCTCACTGAGGGTACATCTCCTCAGGACACCCATCTGCCCTGCCCCATTCCCTCACCTCCTTTGGGCTTGTGATCAGGCATCCTCTTCTCAGCGAGATCTTCCCTGACCATCCTGTTTAAAATAACCATTTCTCCCCACCCAGGCACTCCTGGCACATTGGAGCTGCTCAGAAAGTTCAATTTGTCGAACCAAAGAGAGAAAGAAAGAGGGATGGGATGTGTTAGGGAGCTGGAGAGCTGCTGGGGGTCTGGGTCCCTCACTGTGATGTTGAGGGAAGTCCCATCATTGCAGGATTCCTAACAATCCTTAGGGTCAAGTTCAAACTTTTCTATCTGGACCCTGTTAACCTTTGTGCCCCGAGGCATGGACAGTATCCATTCTCATCTTTTCCCATAGTTGTATAATATTTTGCTGGGCACATGCCTCTCCGCCAGTTTTTTTGTTATTTTTTTCTTCTCATCCTTTTTTTTTGGCCACGCCAGGCTGCATGTGAGACCTTAGTCCCCCAACCAGGGATTGAACCTATGCCCCCTGCATAGGTCCCTGGAAGTGTGGAGTCTTAACCACTAGCACCACCAGGAAAGTCCTCTAAATTAAAAACTATTTCCCAGCCTCCCTTGCAGTAGAGTGAAGTCATGGGTTAAACCAATGGGATTAAGGCAGTGGAATGTAAGGGGAAGTGTTATAGAGCAGTTATTGGGACCCTTCCTTAAGCAGGAAGCTGGGAAGACCTTGGCCCCTGATACTTTGTCCCTTCCTCATTCTTGAAGCCCCAAAGAGATCTGCCCTGAGGGCCCTAAACTAAGTTATGGCAGAGCGGCAACCCTGCTTGTGGGTCACCTCTTTCAGAGAGACTTCCCTGATTCCTCCTCCTCCGGTTCATGTTGATGAGTTTCTGGGCCTGTCCAGTCCCCTCCGCTCTCCCCTTCAGAGCGCTTGTGACTCCCCCACCAGGTTGTGAGTGCCTTGGAGGCAGGAGCAGCTGCTAGTTTTCATCAGCAACTCATATTGAATTTGTCCATATCTGCAAGGGAAAAATTGGATGATGCTTGTAAAGCAGTTAGCATCATCCTTGGCACGTTGTGAGCACTCAAGATATAGCCACAGTACTTTTAGACTATTACAGTTGATCCTTGAACAGCATGGGTTTGAACTGTGCATCATACATCAACTTATAGAAACATTTTTTTTTCACTTAATAAGTACTGTGATATGACACAATCCATGGTTGTTTCAATCTGCAGACTGTAAAGTTGTATTTGAATTTTTGATTGTGCGGAAGATTGGTTCCCCTCAACCCCTGCATTGTATGAAGTTCTACTATATTATTTCTTATATTGTCTGTAGTTCATTCAGGCGGTAAACATGCCAGACACCTTAAGGGGGCAGGTGAGACCCTTTGGTGAATAGGTTCAGCTTGATTGATTGTTCACCATCCAGCCAGGCCCTGCAAATGGAAATGTATTAATATTTATGGGTGCTGTAACAAGTTTTCACAAACTTAGTGGCTTAAAACAAAATGGATTTATTTTTTCACAGTCCTGGAGGCCAGAAGTCCAAAATCAAGGTGTCAGTAGGGCTAAGTTCTCCCTGAAGTCTTTCGGGAAGAATCATCTGTGTTAGCTTGAACTGCCGGAACAAAATAGCATAGACTGAGTGGCTTAAACAAAAGAAATCTGTTTTCTAACAGCTCTGGAGGCCAGAAGTCCAAGACGAAGATGTCAGTATGGCTCGGTTCTGGTGAGGAATCTCCCCTTGGGTTGCAGACAGCAACCTGTTCATTGTGTCCTCACATGACTTTTTCTCTGAGTGTGTGAGGAGAGAGAAAGGGGGAAAGCTCTCTGGTGTCTCTCTTCTTCTGGTTTTTTTTTTTTTTGATGTGGACCATTTTTATCTGTGTTATGTTTGGGGTTTTTGGCCACAAGGCATGTGTCATCTTAGCTCCCCAACCGAGGATCGAACCCAAAACCCCCTGCATTGGAAGGTGAAGTCTTAACCACTGGACCACTGGGGAAGTCCTGCTGTCTCTTCTTATAAGGACACTAATCCTATGAAATCAGGGCCCAATCCTTATGATCTCATTTAACCTTAATTTCCTCCTTAGAGGCCCCATCTCCCAATACAGCCACGCTGGGGGTTAGAGCTTCCACATATGAATCTGGGGGGGGGGACACATTCAGTCCATAATGCCTTTCTTGCCTCTCTCCCAGCTTCTGGTGACTCCTGGTGACCCCTGACTTGCAGATGCAATCACACGGTTTCTTCCCTCTTCACATGGCCATATTCCCTATGTGTCTATTCTACATCTTTTCTTCTGAGGACACCAGTTGTTGGATCAGGGCCTCCTAATTCATTAGGGGGCTTCCCTGGTGGCTCAGTGGCAAAGAACCCACCTGTCAGTGCAGGAGACATGGGTTCAGTCTCTGGATTGGGACAATCCCCTGGAGAAGGAAATGGCAACCCACTCCAGTATTCTTGCCTGGAGAATCCCATGGATAGAGGAGTCTGGCGGTCTACCATCCATGGGGTCACAAAGAGTCAGACAGGACTGAGCAACTAAACAACAACAAAGAAATTCAGTGTGACCTCTTAATTACTTGCTCACCCTTCAAAGACCCTATTAACAAATAAGGTCACATTCACA